ACAACAACAACAACAACAACAACAACAACAACAACAACAACAACAACAACAACAACAACAACAACAACAACAACAACAACAACAACATCCTCACCACCACCAACAACAACAACAACAAAACCACTACAACCACCACCACCCTCACCGCCCAACAACAACAACAACAACAACAACAACAACAACAACAACAACAACAATATACCTTCTCCACGCCCATGACCACCCCCACCAACAACAACAGCAACAACTACTACTATAGTAACAACAGAAACGACACCACCACCACCACCTACAACAACAACAACAACAACAACAACAACAACAACATACTTTCTCCACGCCAATGACTGCTATACTGAAGTACACCTTGTCCAGCTGATAGGCAGGCACATCAAAGACAAACGTCTCGTTATACACGGGGTTCAGATCGTTCCCCTTCGCGGAAGTCTTGCTTTTCTTGAGCTGTCGCCCGTCGTACATCAGAGTTATCTTTATGTAGGTCTCTGAGGACATTCAGTGAGAAATAGTTGTTTTTTTAATTTATTTTTTTCAGTACAATACTTGGGTGGCATTTAAGGACAAGTGGGCTATCCCGAAAAACGCTATTTTGAGAAAATCGAAGGAAAAGTTTTAGCCCCTTGTTCAGTTTCCTTAAAACACAAGGAGAGTTTTCTCTATAACCAAACAAATATACACATCAATGAAACCAAACTTTTTCTTAAGGCAGGGCAATGCCCACTTTTGATGTAGGTCAAGATTTCTGGAGACCCCAGAAATCTGGGTTAGCCCGCTTGTCCTTAAAAGCGACAATTTAAAGTATGTGTTTTTACTGACTACCTCGTATTTTAACATACCGTGAACTCAGTGCTTTCTTGTCATATCTCCATTATTTTTAACATTGAAAATGTTACTTCTTTTTAAGTTCACTCTTTTGTAAAGAATTCTTTTCACTGTTCTTAAAAATGGAGACAGGACAAAAAAAACCACTGAGGTTGCAAATACGGCAATAAGGAATAACGGCGATAATTTGGGATTTGTTTCAACAGTTTGTAAAGAAAGAACTCAAACTTTTCCTGTCATGATAGTCCAAAAATCTGAGGCATCATGGTGAATTCAGGCCCTCGTTTGACAGTTGTTATCGAATTTATTTTTTTAATTATTTTTTTTTGTGGGGGGGGGGGGGCTTCACGCCTCTTATGTTCTTTTAAAAACATATAGCTGTGTGGATTTTTACTGAAAAACGCTAATTAAAGGCACAGAAAACGTAAATTTACAAGTTCTATGGACACTCAAGCTTTAGAACTCTTCAAACTTTGGAACTATATTCTCGCTAAATTTACCTTTCACACTTGGTGACCCCTACCTCTTTTAATCGCAAATATCTCGACTTCTATTCAAGATAGATGGGTATTTTTTTCCCACTCGTCAAACGGAAGACAAATGAACAGGCTTTAAAATTATACCTATAACTCCATATGCCCAAAATTGACGAGCGCCTGATTCCACGACGTCGTGTCACCTATTACGCCCCTTCCTTCAGTACACGTATAGCTATGAAACTACGGTCTGTGCTGAGTACAATGAGTATAAGAATTCGGAAGGGTTCCATTGCAAAAGGTACTATACCCCCAAATCTGGTTTTACGAAAATCCCATCAGCTCTATATTATATTACCTTGTGATATGAATTGTTGAGAGAACATTTTTATCCCACATAACCTCACATCCATCTATCTATCCACCCATCCAAACATCCCCCTATCTCTCCATCCATCCACCGATAAACTCCACATCCATATCTACATCCATCCATTCACACACTCTCCATCCATTCATTTTTCATCCTCCCATCCATCCATCCACTCCCCATCTATCCACCCATCCCCCTTCTCTCCATCCACCCACCTATCTCCTCCCCATCCGGTCGTTCCATCCACCAATCCACTGACCCACTCA